CATCGCCTTGACTGGCGCTACTCTCGCTCTTGCCAAGATGAATGAGATGTGTGGATCTCCGACTTTCGGTTGTTCTCTTAGGTACGCGACACATCCGTACGCTGAGAGAGATGCGTCGCAGAATATGTGGAGAGAGCGTATTGTGGCATCGGTGGACGGTCTGAACATGTGTCGAGGGATTGATAGTTGGTTTGCTCCCTCTAATAATCTGATGAAATTTTCATATCGTTCCGCCTGTTCGCCTCTTAATGTAGAGTCCCAGCCGAGCTTATTTTTCCAGGTTGATTGGAGTAGGACTTTCGCGTTGATGAGCAGAGGAGCGATTATGCCGATGGGATCGAATATCATGGCCGAACCTTTCAAGAGTTTTCTTTTTGTTGGTTCGCCGGCGGTGAGTGTTGCCAGGGCTTCGGTTGTTGGAACGGATAATTTGTCCGTGATTTGATTCCATGGAATACCTAGGAATTTGGCATTCGTTCCATCCGTCGTTACGATTGGGTCCGGGACCGGTGAATATCTTTTTATGAATTCACCGAGTTGTTGGGAATTCGAAGACCATTTCTTGAGGGGGAAATGTCCTTCTTCGAATATCTCGAACGTCCTCTTTATCCTGTATTTCGCTTCCTGGATTGTTTCACCTCCAAGGGTTACATCGTCCATATAGAAATATTCCATGATTTCCTGGATGAACTTCGCGTCTCTTGGGTATTTCTGTTGGCAGCTTTCCAGGTGACATCTCAGGCCTTGGCAATGGAGGTATGGCGAGCAGACCAGACCGAAGTCCAGCCTTTTCGCCCAGTAGTCCTGGATTCCTGCTTCGGGGTTTGAGCTTATCCCCGAGGGCCATAGAAATCGTAGGAAGGTACGGTCATCTTCCGCGATCTTGAATTGCTGGAATGCCTTTTCAATGTCCGCTGTCAGGGCGAATCGATACTTCCTGAAGTTGAATATAACTTTGATTATATCCGGAAGGAGGTTCGGCCCTTGATGCAGCACGTCGTTCAACCCTGCAAGATTTGACTGTCTCGCACTTGCATCCTTGACAACCCTGGTTTTGAGGCCTAGTGGTGTGTCCGGATTGGGTTTGAATACGGCTTGGATGGGCAGGAAATGAGCGAGCTGGAATTCGGTTCTCGGCCGTGCCGGTTCAGCGAAGTCTGATCTCAGGAATCCTAGCATTCCCTCGTCCACCGCTCTGAGTTTCGCTGGGTCGGACTGCAGTTTCTTGATGAATGATTGGAGGCGGCATCTTGCTAATCCTTCGTTATCTCCGAGAGAATGAATGTTCTCTTTGAACGGTAGGCGAAGGACGTATCTGCCTGAGGGGTCTCGTTCCGTTGTCTTTCTGAAGTGTTTTTCTAGAGCTTTGTTCAGCTCGTCTTCTTCTGCTTTCTTTTCCTCTGCATCGTCTGCCTCCAATCCGCATTCCTCGGTTTGCCAGAGGAATTGAATGTCCTCATGGGTGTCCTGACACCTTTGTTTTGCCGGGCAAATGTTTGAGCTCTCTTCTGTTGCATTTCCCGAAGATCTCTTTTCCGGCGATACGACTCCTGGTTGTATGAGTTCGAATCCGCAGAACCTTGGTAGGTTATGATGCGTGGGTTTCTCGTTGTGGGTACCTCCGAAGACCCAGCCGAAGATATATTTGAATGCGAAGACATTGTCGAAGATCTTCGTCTCTTCCATACCGATTTTAGCCATGTGTTCGGATCCGATCAGTATGTCTACGAAGTCTGATGTTTCGCCTTGGGTATGGTCCGCGACCGGGTGTAGATTGAAGGTGTTTCCGATGACAGGGAATTTGGACTGAGACAGGCAACGCAATTCGATTGCCTTGAGGGAAAGTGAGTTCTCTTCTGATCGGATGGTTGAGACTCTAGTTTCTTCGCCATTGCCTGGGTGATATGGGATGATTGAGACCCGGGGTCGATTAGGATTCGACATGGTATCCTCCTGTCACCGTTTTCGGCCCAAACGTGTGCTGTCCATAGGTAGATCGGATCCTCCGTTGTGTCGGTTCCCAGATTGATGGCTGAATGTTTGACCACTCTTTTCCCGGTGTTGTCCGTTGCTTTTGCGCATATGATAGCGTAGTGCAATTGTTGCAATATCTGCAAGCTGTTTTCGGGCCTTCTCGACAGTTTTTCGACTGATGGTTGAGTTTCAAGCATTTTGAGCATGCTCTTTTCTTTGCAACGATCTCCAGGCGTTCCTCAATCGTCATGAGATCCGTGCACTTGAAAGAGGGGTGATCGCCTTCGCAGAATAAGCAGGGTATCTTGCACTCCCGGGGAGGTTCCGGCTTGGTCGGCCGTTGTGGTATATTTCGCGTCGACGATGATATGTGGAACGCGTTCGAAGTATTCTTGTACGAGGAGTTCGTCGGCTTATCGGATGTGTTTTGTCCTTCGGCTCTAAATCTCGATGGTTGGAATTTCTGTGTCCGCTGATTTCCCCGAGGGTCATGTGGGTTGAAACTCGGTCGAGCCGTGCTTCTGTTCATCTTTGAGTTGTCCCGGATGGATTCGAGAGTCCTGACTTCTGTCCTGAGGAACGTTATGAGCGCTTCCAGCTTCGAAGTTTCCGTCTGGGGAATCGTGTGACTGATTCTGAAATAGTCTGCGAACCTGATCTTTGTGTCGTGTGTCAGTTTCTGTAGTACTCTGTTGGCGAAGGCAGGTGTTAGCGTGTTGTATGTTTGGCCTAGGGATGTCAATGCCAATATATGCTGACATATTAGGTTCACGAAGTTTGATAACTTATCGTGCGTGATGATCGGTCCCGTGGACAGGATTCTA